ATTCCGAGGGGTCCCTTCTTGCTCTAAGGTTTCTGTAATTAAGACTTAGGATTATTCCAGCCGTAGAACTCATGGATTAAATTAAGGAAACATTAGCAGTTTATAATTTTACACTCTTCGTGGAATTAATTGTTTTTTCTCTTTCTGAGATTTCAAATGGAATATAATTTATTTTATTGTTTACAAGTTCAATTGTGTTTTTTTCTAAATTAATTTTTAGGTTAAGATTTATAATAGCAAAAATTCGAAATTAAATCTGGCTCATTATTTCCTCTTTATACTTATTATTGTTATGATTTACCTACACCTACACCACTTTTTGTTAAAAATAAAGAATTTAACTGTTTTAGTAAGTTTACTGCAGTGTTTATTACAACAAATAATTTTTTTCCACAAAGCTATCTAATATATAATGAAGAATCAACTTTGAACAATTCATGTCTAAAAATGAATACAAATTTTTAAAAAAATATTAAACGTTCTATATGTACAATTGTGGAGAATATTGTCGTTAAAAATAAATAACAAACATAAACTCTTTGCAAAAGGATTTAAAATTAGAATTTTAAAGATGATTCAAGCTTCTTATTAAAGTTCATAAAAAGCTTAATCTTCATGCAAGGTTGAAAGATTTAAGGATTTAAAACATCTTTAATAAATAGCGACGCGTGGAGAGAAACTAAATTTTCTAAAACAAAATGGTAGATTCAAAATTTAATTCCTTAATTCAAAATACAAAATTTGCTCTTGAAATTATGAATATGTTCGCCTGGCTGTAACTGTAAGGGAATTAGCAAATCATGAAAAATCAGCAAACGTTAAAATTTTAAGGACGGAACACTCTTTGATGAAATGATATAGAGGTTTTAAAAATAGATTCTTTTGATGTATAGTGTTCCGATATATAAAAACCTTTTAAAAACCTTCAAATAAAGGAGCTTAACACTATGACTATTTGATTAAGAATTCATAGTTTTAAAGGTTTACACCATCAGAGTGCAAAAATATTGGGATTAAAAATTAGAGTTTGAGGCGAGTAATCAATCCTTTGATGTAGTGTTGAGGCACATTCAAAATTGAATCAAAAATTACTTATTCTAATTCTCCAAACCTCGAGCATTGAAATTTCTAAGATACATTTGTATTTCAGCTTTACACTAGCTATATATATATGCTATGCGGATGGAGTTGGAAGGGGTGTAGCAAAAAAGTATCGCAAAAACAAATTTTAAAGAGGGTTTATAAAAAAAATGAGAAAATGAATGGAAGGTAGAAAAGATGAAAGTACATAAAGTAATATGAATGAAAGACTATGCGTGATGGAAAAATGTAAAAGAAAGAACATCAGGGGCGTACGACACGTTGATTTAATGGTTCTGTCAATATTCCCAAAAAAACATGTTTGATTTTAAATAGAAGAAACCGAATGTTATTCACTCTGGTTAGTCCGGTGTGACGAGAGCATTTGTGTAAGGGGGGGCACTCTTTTGGTGCCCCCCTTGGCAACATTGCGCCCCCCCCCCCTTAAAAACCCAATTTTTGAAAAAATATTGATTCCTTTTTTAACTATGTATTCGATCATATATACACTACAAGTGTTAATAAATTATTTATGTAATTTTCTTAAGTGGATTCATCAGACACAAAATAGAGATGGAAACGTTTCATTAAGAAATATCTATATTTCATAAGATTCATTACATAAATAATCATATCAAATCTATATCTACACTGAAGACAGTAATGATTAAAGCTTTTTTAATGAAACTTTTTTAGTTAAGAGCAAAACTGAGTTTTTAAATAAATTTTTTTATGATGTAATTATACTTTAAGTGGAATACAAGTGACCCTCCATTTATAGAGTGGCATGTCCGATGTACCTTTGAAACCATCATTTCTCCATCGTTTGCATGAGTCACTTTTGTAGAGAAACCACAAATGAAAATACTCAGTTTTTGAAAATGGGAAACATTGATATTTGATTAATTCAAAGCTTTGTTGTGAATCAGAATTGAAATTATGTCTGCAGTTACTTTAAACGTTTCAATTGATTCTTTATTGATTAAACTGAAAAATTAAATTGAAAATTTTTGTTTACAAATATAATGAAAAGCTTTAAAAGTACTGCCTCCAAAATCAAGCATCCAAGGTTTTTTCCTCCAAAAAATATCCAGTTGTAATATTAAATGAGCCCCCCCCCCNTTGTAGCCACCCTCCCCAGGGCCCCCCCTTGTACGCCCCTAAAGGATATGGTAGTTTTAATAAAAACATTTAGCACAGTAAAAGCTTAAAGAAATAAAAATATTGTAATTAAAGGAAATGTCGATTTGAGTTAAAGGTACCCTTTATTTATAGAGTTGAAAGTCAGATTCCCAACGCTACCCTTTCAATATTTGTCTGAGTAAGCATGAGAGAAATATCCATTTTTACATTCTAAAATTGATAAATTTAGATTGCGGTATAAGTTGTGAATCAGACATATAACTCTTTTGTTGGAGCATCATCCCTTGAAATTACTTATACAGTCCCTTTAAAGTCCCTTTAGGTTGTTTCCTGTATCCGTGTACAGTTCCTTTAAACATGTTCAGGTTGTTGCCTGTATCCGTGTACAGTCCCTTTAAACATGTTCAGGCTGTTGCCTGTATCCGTGCACAGTCCCTTTTAACATGTTCAGGCTGTTGCCTGTATCCGTTTACAGTCCCTTTAAACATGTTTAGGTTGTTGCTTGTATCCGTGTACAGTCCCGTTAAACATGTTTAGGTTGTTGTCTGTATCCGTGTACAGTCCCTTTAAAAATGTTTAGGTTGTTGTCTGTATCCGTGTACTGTCCCTTTGAACATGTTTAGGTTGTTGCCTGTATCCGTGAACACTGTACAGTCCCTTTAAACATGTTTAGGTTGTTGTCTATATCCGTGTACAGTCCCTTTAAACATGTTTAGGTCGTTGCTTGTATCCGTGCACAGTCCCTTTAAACATGTTTAGGTTGTTGCCTGTATCCGTGTACAGTCCCTTTAAACATGTTCAGGCTGTTGCCTGTATTCGTGTACAGTCCCTTTAAACATGTTTAGGTTGTTGCCTGTATCTGTGTACAGTCCCTTTAAACATGTTCAGACTGTTGCCTGTATCCGTGTACAGTCCCTTTAAACATGTTTAGGTTGTTGCCTGTATTCCTTGATCAACCATAATTCATGAATCAAAATAAAGATTTGCTCTGTCTGTGTCTTGCTGCATCTTTTTGCAACGGTTGGCCGAGCAATTGTTTAATAAAACCAGTTTCATTGCAGACATTACAGGTTACTGGTAGGGGGGGGGGGGCACATCTGGTGGAAATAAAAAGAATAAGGTTTATGAGTGTAGCTTCTTTAATTCAATCATAATAATACAAATTTTGACAATTAATTTGCAAAAAAAGAAATTATTTTTACAGTAAGGTCGAGACCGTTAAAAGGAATTGAGTTTTTGTCGTGAACTCAAACTTTCTAATCTCTATATCTCTGCAACCTGATGGTGTAAAATATCAAGGTTAACACCATCAGCCTGCTCAAATATAGGCTGATAAGGAAAGTAGAGTTTGTGGTGAGTAATATATTCCTTCTTAACAGATATACAATCTTTTAATACTTTATAATAAGTCCTCTTTGGATTAAGTATTTAAGCAATTTTGTGTAGTTTAATTTCCAGACCAGACTGGTCTGCAGCTAGACTAATTATTTTATTAATAATGTCGTAAAAAATTAATAATATCATTAAAAGTGTATTGGACTGGATAAACGTACTTGAAGCAATAAAAATACGAGTAAGGTAATCCTGCAAAATTTGCATGGACATTGGACAAAGAACAATCAGACACCACCACGTTTTTGTTTATAAAAATCAGTGTACTCCTCCAGATAATGTGATTGTGATCAGTATTTTTCAAACTTTGTGGCGGAAAATAACTACATTGAAATTCTAAAACATTCCCTTTTTCATAAATCCGCGAATTTATATTTTTAGAAGATTATAAATTTCAAAATGGCGACTTGGCGAGGAGGAGGGCAGAGTAAATGGCCAGGGGGACAAATATCATACAAACAAATTAAATTCTCCCCGCCGTTAAGATTGGGGATTTAGGGCAGGAATTTTGTTTTTATGACATGGAAAGCCTTCATTTTTATGGGCCGAATGAGTTATTTAATAATTCAAAATTTGACTTTGCATATCACATTTGGCTAGCCTGATAAACACCAAGAAAATAATAAAAAGTTTACAATTTTTTACGAAAATACCTTTTTTTGGATTAATAAGGTTCTCCTATAAATTATAATGCACACTGAAAATCTCACAAGTCCTGTATTTTCAAAATTAAAAAATTGTGCTTTTGGCAAAATAAGCATATTTGAAAACTGGAAAATTCAGATTAGACTTGGAGTTGTCATCCTGGTCCCATTTAATCAATTTAATTTAATTAATTATCATTTTTGTTTAATTGTTATCATTTCAGTTCTTTTCAATGATTTATATATTTACAGGGTTACCCAGAAAGGATGACACTTTAAGGCGATTTTACATTTTTTCGTTTATTTTGGGTGAGGGGGGGGGGGGGGGGGGGCTGGGGGGGGGGGGGGGGTTAATTTCCTGCACCTACAGACATAATAAAACTCTCAAATTCAGTACTTAAAGCCTAAAGGTCGTCATCATAATATCATCCTTTATGAGTAATCGCGCATAATGTCATTTGTTTGAGTAATTCTCAACTAAATTCTTCATTAAGAATGTGAAACAAGTGAGTGTTTGCCACAAACTGTGATGTTCCAATCCCTATATCTTGCAACCTGATGGTGTAAATCTTTGATATTTCAAACTTAGATTTTTTGATCTAACAGAATCTATAGTTTGAAACACCTAAAGTCTACGACATTGGGTTGCAAAGATAAAAAAAAATCAGAGTTTGTGGCAAATGCTTTATAAAATTTTATCTCTCTCTCCTCTCGTTTAAGTCTAATGGTTTTAAGCTTGAATCACGTATATCTTAACATTTATTAGTAATAAGAATGCATAAGATTAATAGGAACTCTTGCTGTCGGACTACGTATAATAATAACCATAAATACAATATAATATGAGATTTTTCACACTCTGGTGACAGTCGGCCAGAGATAGAATCACAATTGTTTTTTTTAAAGAAAACATACATCAAGAACATTGTTTATAAGGATTACCAATTAAATTTCTTTTAAGAGTGTTTAAAGTTCGCTAATTTAGCACACAAGAAATTTTCCTATAATTTTATATATTTTCGTCAGGAACTATGAATCAGAATAGAACACAGCCGCGGCAGGTGTTTCCAGAGACATCTAGCGATGCCCCCAGAAACAACAACCTCAAATGCGCGGGCTCAAAGGCCCCACTCTTAACAAAATAAAAACAATAGCTTTTTAACACATATAGTAAGTGGCACATAACTGATTTTTCTAATCAAGTGGTGAGAGAACAGTGGAAGTATAAACGGGGGTTTAAAGAAAAACAATCCTCTACGTTTTCACCAGAACTAAGATTTTCTAAGAAGGAAATTAGCTGCACTAGGTCTCTACACATTATGAACAGTGTTGGTGACTCCGATAGGGTAGGAGTTCATGCTCTGACCCATCCCATAGAACGGAGGCATCAGCATGGATCTGTCTCCCATATGAGAGTCCGGTCTTCCCGGAGAATGAATTCCTCCGGCAGCCATCATCATTGAGAGCCCAGGACCTAGGTTTGGTTTAGTAGGTGAGGGACTGCTGTCAGTTGCGCTGTCCTGACCGTGTCTGGGTGGGGTAGCAGTACCCCGGGAGTAGTTTACTCCGTTCTGAAGGGACTCCGCCTGCTGGGTCAGAGTTGCTCCCGGAGACTCAGGATCGTAAAGTCCTTGCTCCAGAGCTAGACGTACATTCTCCAGATGTTTTGGTAGGAAGATATGCTCCTGAACAGCATAGTTGTCTGGGAACTCAAAGCTACACCATCTACATCCCCTGGGAGCTGAGGGCATATCCGGCTCTGTCCCGGTCACTTGCTGTAGGTAGAGACGGGCCTTCTTCTCCTTGGCTCTAGCGTTCTGAAACCAAACCTGAACAACTCGCTTCTGAAGACCAATTTGATTCCCAAGCCCGAGGCATTCCGGCATGGTGGGAGTTTTGTAGTTTTCAAATATGCTCTTCATCATTTTGACTTGAACATTAGACATGTGGGTTCTGAACCGCTTGTTACCACTGTCTTTTGGCCCATTAGTGTCAGCGTAGTTTCCTGCAAGTCCATTACCCTCACCAGACTCTCCATCATAGTCATCTACATACAGACCACGGTTCATCTCAGAAGATGAATCCTCTCCACCACTCATGTTCTTATCCCAGGAGTCACTGTCATTGTCATTCTCTGACCTGTGAGATCCATGGTCGAGGTCGGCCGAGGATGACCTCAGATCCAGAGCTTGACCCTCTGGGGTTTGTTGGGGTGGAGGTCGGACTGATAGTTCATCCATATACCTTTTCATGGTATCCTCGTAAAATTTTCTCATGGATGCCTCCAGGTCGTTACCAGAGCTGCTGGGGGGTGCGGTTGGGGGAATGAGAGGTGGGAACAGATTGGTTGTTTTTGGCAATTTGTTTCTGGGTTCCTCCATAACATCTCTGCTATCCTCAACTGATGGTTTTCTCTTCCAAGACATTGTGTTTTGATTAAATACAGGAGATGTAATATTCCTCTCAGAGTAGGATATACTAGAGTTACTGTCTTCAGAATGGTTGGATACAGCTGTCAAGTTTAAACCTGCACCCTGAGCTGTCAAAGAAGCAGCTGCCTGACCAGCAGCTTTCTGGGCTAGAGCTGACCGCTTTGCATCTTCCTCCTTGTAGCAGTGCTGCTTCTGATGCCGAATGAGCTCATAGTATCTTTGGAATTCCAAGTTGCATTTTTTACACTGGTAACTTAGACTGGGGGTTCTGGTAAAACGTCCTTCAACATCATCGGTAATAACCTCATTGGAGGGTTGGTTCTCATATGCTTTCCTGGCTTTCTGCCTAGCATTTTGAAACCAAACAACAATGACTCTTGGAGTCAAGTTGAGAAGTTTAGACAAGTACTCCAAATCATCATCCTTCGGGTAAGCGTTCTTCTCAAAGAACTCCTGCAGGACCTTAACTTGGTAGTCACTGAACCTGGTTCGATTTGCTCTCTTACCATGTATCCCGGAGAGATCTTGTCCAGGGGAGAGGCGCTGACCACTACCTGGAGAAGATGGTTCGCTCATGTTGCTGTTATTAGCTGCAAGGTTGTGAAGCATCTTACTGAAGCTGTTATGCTCCGGGGACTGTCCAAAAGGGTTGGAGAGGGGTGGTGGGTAGTTGGGTAAGCAGGCCATAGAGTCAGCCATAGTTTGTGACGAAAGTATAGAAGATAGTGTAAGGCTTGTCGGCAAGGAACTTTGGGTTACATTAGGAACTGGGTTAGTAGCATTGAAATTTACAGAAATGTTATTGTGACTACTGGTCACGGAATTCGCTGTCGGGACGCTTGGCGCCCTCTCATGATCAGACTTAAACTCAGCGTCTCTAGAGTCGTTGGCAATTAAGTCAGGAGATTCAGTTTTCCTCTCTTCTCTCCTCTCCTCATCCATCCTGTCATTGCTCTCCTCTGGGTGTATCGACATCACCTTGGATTCTCCAGTTTTCTCATAGTCCTCCATGTTGATCATGGTAGATGGAGGATTGTTGAAGTTGTAGGGTGAGTCCTTGTTCTTCTGTCGTTCCTTGAACAATGTGTTCCGGAACCAATGTTTTATCACCTTGGGAGGTAAACCTGTCTGCTGAGCCATCAGGTTGATTTGATCATCTGACGGAGAATTAGAGATATCAAAGTAAGATCGGAGAACCTTCAGTTGATCCTCTGTGATCTTGGTTCTTGCTCGCTTCTGCTCTCCATACATGGGGGAATCAGGGGCCATATTGTGGCTCCCTTGTGGCACCGGGCTAGGGGATGGAAAAGGGATCTTCTGATCCGATTTCTCAGGGAGAGGGTTAAGCTGAGCAAGCTGAGAGAGAAGAAGAGAGGGGTCAGGAAGACGAGGTCCATTTCCTGACATCTGCTGGGCCATGGCAAGCTGCTGAAGATGCTGGAACTGGCCCATGCCTGGTGGACCAAAGGGCGAAACTCCTCCGCCCATCATGGCCATCTGGTTGAGAGCATTCATCCCAGGAGGCATCTGAGCTCTAAGCATTGGGTTTAGCAACTGTAGACGAGCTGCTATCATGGCTTGCTGCAGAGCATTCTGAATATCTCCCAGGACCTGACCGTTGTTTACATCCCGCTCCTCTTTCTTAGGAGACTGGAGATGGTTTGAGTTTTCCGAGTGGCTTGATCTATCTAGCTCACTTTCACCACTCATACTCACGTCCATGGCCTCATTCCCCTGGTTCTCATTCATCTTCTTCTTCAGGTTCCTGAGATGGCCCACGGAGTTGTAATGAACCAGGAGTATGCTCTTCTGGGTGAAACTCTCCCTGCACACGTCACACTTGTATGGTCTGCCTGGATCTGTGTATTTATCCATCTGTGCTGCAGGACTACGTTCTATCTCCGCACTCCGTGGTGAATCCTCCCTAGCTCTGGGTTCTAAAAAGATACACAGCGTTAAACAATATCCAGACATTTCAATTAGAACTTCAGGGTAAATGTTTAAACAAAACCTTAGACACGTTAAATACTTGTTAAATTAATGCTAATTTTTGCTCGAACTTTTTCCAACTCCATTGTCCCCCCCCCCCCCCCCTGAATACATTATCATTTTGAATATCAAATTCGAGAGAAAAGTCATAAAACCCCGAAATAGGGAGAACCCCTACCGTCACCCAAATTACATTTGCAACCTTTTTCGAACGATTAAAGTGACGGAACATTCAACCCTTGGGCGCTACACGCAGCAAATAGTTAAATAAACGTTTTCATTTTTATGCTTCGTAGAACAATTTCAAGATTTTACACGCTGTATTATTATCTATTTTTGAAATGATGAAATACATAAAAAATAATTTTTAAAGTTTATAACAGTACGCCCTGAATTTACATTCTTTAACTGAATTAACAATAGGATGGCAGGATTTTGAAATGTAAAATGAATTAATGAATTAATTAATTACCTGATTCCTCCTCTTTGCTGTTCTTGGCGTTATTGAGCCAGTGTGAGCCCTGCATGAGCATCATAAGCCGAGCTAAACCTTCCGAGTTGATGGAATGGATCTGCATCCCGTGGTCCTCCAGGGTGTCCTTATTCTTGAACACCTCCTGGCAAAGGGGGCACGTTACACACTCCTCACCCTCCTCCTCCTCCTCCTCTTCCTCCTCCTTCTCCTCCTTCTTCGCTATCCTCCTCTCCTTTACCTCCTTCTCTTCACTTTCTTCTAAAATATAGGAAGTTAGAATTTTCCAAAATTAAAAATAGAAAAAAAGAAATTGTGTCTTTGCCACAAACCAAATGTTCTAATCCCTATATCTTTGTTAAAGGTATGCCATAACTATAGTCTACGACATTGGGTTGCAAAGATATAGGGATTAGAACAGAGTCTGTGAGAAAGACTCAACTTCATTGCATGATAGAGATATTTTCCTAAAGATCTATCCATCTATAGAAAACTGTGTTTCATGTTTATCAGTCAGTCCTAGCACAAATCGTAGAAAGCGTTAAAAAAAATCCCAAAACTCTGCTTCGAAAGAATTCACGCATTTAAAAAATTTTGAGAAAATGTTAAACCTAAACTGAACCAATAGAAAAATATAAATACAAACCAACAAGAAAAACAATCGTATATTTAGAAGGGGGG